AAGAAAAAGAAAATTTAAAATACTACAAAAAATGTGCTATATTATTTAATTAAATTATCTTATAATCGAATTTTATTTTGTAATCGGGCAGTTCGGGCGGTTTGAAGGTAAAATCATGAACCAAATCAATTATATCGGTTTTAAAATTTTAGAATTCAAACCAATCCAATTTTATATTGGTTTGGATCGATTCTTAATTGGATTGGATCAGTTTATGTTGGATCAATCGGATTGGATCGAATATGAACACCCCTAATCAGGATGATGGCATCAATATGTATTAGCTCTATTTGATAATTCTCCCTAGTTTTATCATTTTGTTTTGGTTAAATGCTAAATTTAGTCCCTCAACTTTATGAAATGCACATTTTTGGTCCCTCAACAAATTTTTGCACTTTTTTGATCCCTCAACTATACAAAATGCACTCCGTTAGTTCTTCTGTTAATTTGGGCTATTAATTCTGCCTATGTGGCATTTTTTATATTTTTTTGATGATGTGGAGAGCAAAATTAAAAAAAGTGATGATATGCACAAAACTTTTGCCATGTCATGCTACCGTGGCCAAAACGCGCCAAATCTGTCCAAATGAGTCCCACATCACCACTAAGAATTGCTTCTTTTGCCCATCGGTTATTGTTTCTGTTCTTTCCATCGACGATGTTCTTTCCATTTTCAAGATTGAAATCATTTAAACAATACTTAAAAAAATATGAAAAAAAGAATCCCAAACATTGCTCACAACAACCTGCAATTTGGATAATCTCTTGACAAACAAACATATAACAAAAAAAAAAAAAGTAGAGCTGAGTTCGACGGAACCCAACCTGGGTTCCACCCATCCCAGCAGATCTGGGTTCGATGTAACCCAGCAAATAGGTTCCATCGAAACCTGGAACCCAATTGCCCAAAAATCCTTCACAACAACCTGCAATTTGGATAATCTATTGGCAAACAATCATATAACAAAAAAATAAAACCAGTTGCCCAAAAATCCCTCGCAACAACCTGCAATTTGGATAATCTCTTGGCAAACAATAGTATAACAAAATAACAAAACTAGTTGCCCAAAAATCCT